TTTATAGTTTCACTGGGAGCCAGTCAGAGGTGTAATAAACGAACCAAAATCTCGTTGAAACCGTTGTACTGCCCTCTTGTGGTCAAAAATGCAACCATGTCTTGTGTTATAATGCCTTCTTCCATGTGCAGTTCTTTCCAAGACTCACTCATTTGGATGACTTTTAAGAGAGAAGTATAATCAATTTGTATTAGAGAAGTAAGAGATGGCTTAAGTAAGATATAGCTTCTAGAAAGATTGAGTTTGAAAGATTGAGATTTTTGGTGGAGAAAGTAGGCACTTTTAGCTCCGTAAAGCTTGACATAATAGAAATAATAGTCAGAAAAGTCTTATTCTTTGAAACTTTTTCAAAGTCTTATTCAGAAATTTGGTGCAGTTGTTCATATTTAAATGGCCAAAAAGAAAGATAAAATTCTGATAGTTTGCATGTAAACCAATGAGATCGTTATAATATGGCAGACTACTTGCATAAAATGCACATAAATATCAGTTGTCACTCTGTATCTCCCAATAATATGTCTTAAGATGATTTTTTTAAATAAGTGCTCAGTTTTATTATCAAAGCTCTGTAGTTTTTATTGTGGTGGAAAAACATATTATGCAATGCAATACAACGATTGAGAACAAATCATTGAGCTGTGATTGAGAACAAACAGATGAACAAATGTTCCACAAAAGCCTGATGGATCATGTTTGATACTCAGTTTAAGTTGATTTTTCTAAAAAAAAATATGTATGAATAATCAAGTGAACCTAAGTTGCTTCAGTCCAGTAAGTGTTCATTTTGTAAGAATAACTTGTAACGTTTTGTTTACTTAAAGGGGTCATATGACGTTGCTAAAAAAAAGAACATTATTTTGTGTATTTGGTGTAATGAAATGTGTTTATGCGGTTTAAGGTAAAAAAAAACATTATTTTCCACATACTGTACATTATTGTTTCTCCTCTATGCCCCGCCTTTCTGAAACACGTCGATTTTTACAAAGTATAAAGAATAACTCTTTGGGTTTGAGATTTTAGTCTTTGCAACTTTAGGGATCTTATCTATTCATGAACGGCTTGTAACACTCCAAAGAGAAAGTACAATTTGAAATCGCATCATATGACCCCTTTAATAAAAAATCAGTAAGGATTTTACAGCAAAAAGACGTGAACCACAACCTGAAGGTGGATGTTTTTACAGTTATACTAAGTCTTTTTATTTGCTTATAAATTCAATCAATCAGACACCATAAACATCCAAGTTTTTACTCTTTGAAGGATTTGTTCACTTCCAGAATGATAATTCTGTCATCATTTACTCACCCTCCACTTGTTCCAAACTTGTATACGGGTTTCTTTCTTCTGTTGAACACAAAAGATGATATTTTGAAAAATGTTTGTATCCGAACAGTTGATGGGCGCCATTGACTTCCATAGTATTTTTTTTTTCCTACTATGGAAGTCAGTGGTGTCCATAAACTGTTTGGGTTATATGGTCAACAACCCTAGCCCACAACAAAATTCTAGCGGCCGAATTTGGCAGGTACTGAGGTTTGTTAATACAGGATTTAGACACTCCAATGAAAAGGGCATTACAATAGTCTAAATGTGAGAAAACGAAAGAGTTATTCAACCTTTCAGCAACGGAAAAAGACAGCATAGGTCGCAGACGTGCAATATTTCTGAGATGGAAGAACGAGGTCTTAACAGTGTTCTGCACAAAAGGCTCAAACGACAGGCTGGCTTCAAAAATAACTCCAAGATTTTTTTAATTTACTTTGTAGTTCCAGCCCAAAACCATCAACAAGCAGAGCTCAAGAACCAGCACTGTGCAGTTGATGGGGAGAGCCAAGAAGCATGACTTCAGTTTTTAGAACTATTCAAGCAGAGAAAATTGTTAGACATCCATGTCTTAATCACTGAAATACAATCTGAAAGATGGGATAAGTCCACATCTTGACCTGGTTTTTAATGGATATAAATCTGGGTGTCATCAACTTAAAAATGGTAGTTAAGGTCAAGAGATCTTAATAGTTGACCGAGTGGAAAAATATAAATGCTAAAAAGCAAAGGACCAAGAATTGAACCCTGGAGGACACCAGTACTAACCAGACCAACCTCTGATCTGTGGCCATCCATAAAAACAAAATGACTGTGATCAGAAAAATAAGATCTGAACCAGTCCAATGCAGTATCCGTTACCCCAAAAACAGATTCAAATCGACTAAGTAATAGCGTGTGATCAACGGTATCAAAAGCTGCACTTAGGTCCAGGAAATGGTTCGTTTTTTTGTTTGTTTGTTTTTTTTTGTATATTTTGGCTTTTATGGAGCCACAGACCTTCTGAGGTATTAAGGTCAAAGAAAGACTGCAGAAGAGATTCAGAAAATAAAATCACTCCATCTGCCTTTGTAACCCCACAAACACATATTTAGGAACCCCCATCTGGAATAATAGGATTTTTTTCCACACACGGTGTGATTCATCTCTGTGAAGTTTCCTGGAGTTGTAGTGCCTCAAAAGCAACAAGGTGGGTGATGCGATGTTTTTGTACCCCCTCCTGGTCCTCCCCTGCTGTAGCAGAGACCTTGTCTCTGTGGGATAGTGAGAGGAGCTCAACTCTGCTCAGGATAGGGTAGAAAGAGACTTATACCGTCATGCTGATTGTGAGAGAGCGAGAGCTTTATACTGCACTCAATGCCGTTTTTTTGTTTTCCAGTATCTCCATAGTGGTTATTTCCAGTTCATTTCTTCACTTTTTGTAGTCACAGGCTCAATTTAGTCATTTTGCTCTTCACAGACAATAATAATCAGCTGATGTTTTCATCTCCTGACAGGATGATATGAGCGATTCCCTGCGGGACTACACCAACCTGCCTGAGGCCGTGCCACTCCTCACTATCCTGGACATGTCAGCTCGTGCCAAATACGTTAAAGACGTGGAGGAAATCACACCTGCCGTGGTAGAACAATTTGTTAGTGACTTTCTGGCTGAGAAGCTCAAACCAGAGCCCATTTGAAGTCCTTGAACTCCCTGCACCCTGTTACCCGAACCTCCATCTGGCCCTTGACCTCCAGGCGTGCTCTCTCTCCTCTTCCTGTCAGACTGTTTGAACAGAAGCGTACTTTGTATTGACATTTTATTTCTTTTAATACATGCCCCTCCATCTCGAAGCGGCCGCCTCCTCCTGTGGTGCCTTGCATTTACTACAGCGCTGATGGTAAAATGCTAATTTTAACGTTGATTGTCTTTTGCCGTTACATTTTGAGATTAGATTGAACCCTGCAGCTGCAAGTGAACACAACTTTGTTCTGATTTGCTTTTATTGACATTTTTATCAAGTATTTCCTTCTATCCTTGGATATTGTTTCAAAAATCAAGAGCTTAGAATAAATATAGCTTGGTAGATGTTTTTTTGTTTTTTTTCCACAGACACTGCACATTTTACGTGGCCATATGTTCTGTACGGCTGTGATTCTCTACTTATGGGTGCTGATAAATATGCATACATGAACAAGCTGTTGTTAATATCCTTGTATAGAAGGCACTATCTATTCTTTGTGTAGCTGCCGCTGTTTATTTTTAATGCAGTTGTCTATAGTTGATTCTTTAAAGGTCTTCGCCCACCTTCTTGTTGATATTTGATGTTGTTGAATGACTAATCTGTTTCCATCTCAAACTTGACATTTAAGTGGATTTTCTGTGAAGGTCCCCTGTATTAAAGCGGTCTATGTTTTTTGAAGGCACAATAAACAGCATCTAATTGCAAGCTTCCTTACAAAATGTAGCCAGTTAAAGCACACAGTCTGTCTGTCTTTGGTTGTTTTAAAAGTCATAGCCATTAAAACCCACTGTTTAAAATGTCTCTGTGTTCTCTTTACATAGGACTATGTTTGCAATTCATACTCCTCTACTACTCAGTTTCTATAGTATGCATACTGTGTGCGTTATGCAGATTTTCTGATAATAATCTCATAATACTGAAATTTGCCAGATCATGCAGTATGAAACCTGAAATATCCCACAAAGCAATGTACTTCCTTCAGTCTTTCATTTCCACTTACATACATACATAATACATGTGTATATAATGATGATAGTTTCCATTTTTCATACTGTACATTATAATGTTGTTATGCCTAAATTCACTTGTACTGTAGTGTTTATATTTTCATTCATTTTAGTTTTCAGTGTTTTGTTTTAATAATGGCCATAATTATTAGTATCAACCAGAATTTTTACATCTAATATTTTCACATAATACTGGAATTCTTGCCAGAATAACCACATGCCACTTGCTTAATTAAACATGGAGTGCAATGTGGTCATGCCACAGTGTAGCATAGTCTGATACTGTTTGAAATGTTTGTTGCATATTGTTTGACATGCTTAAAGGAATATTTCACTCAAAAATGAACATTTGCTGAAAATGTACTCACCCTCAGGCCATCCAAAATGTAGATGAGTTTGTTTCTTCATCAGAACAGATTTGGAGAAATTTAGCATTACATCACTTGCTCACCAGTGGATCCTCTGCAGTGAATGGGTGCCGTCAGAATGAGAGTCCAAACAGCTGATAAAAACATCACAATAATCCACAAGTAATCCACACGACTCCAGTCTATCAATTAACATTTTATGAAGTGAAAAGCTAAATGTTTAAAAGAAACAAGTTCATCTTTAAGACGATTTTATCTTCAAACAATTGCTTCAAACCAAAACAGGAGTTTGATAACTTTTTCATTGGACAAAGCAAAATTAATATATGGATTATGAACTGATAATGACAGAAGTGATGATTTAAAGTTACAAACACAGTTTTTTGCTTCGCAAGACGTTAATTGGTGGACTGGAGTGGTGTGGATTACTGTGATGTTTTTATCAGCTGTTTGGACTCATTCTGACGGCACCCATTCATTGCAGAGGATCCATTGGTGAGCAAGTGACGCAATGCTAAATTTCTCCAAATCCATTCAGTTCAAGAAACAAACTCATCAACATCTTGGATGGTCTGAGGGTGAGTACATTTTAAGCAAATTTTCATTTTTGGGTGAACTTTTCCTTTTAAAGTGTACAGTATTTGTGTCATCAGTATGCTTTTACTCTGAAAACACACAATCACCCTTTACTGGATAAATGACAGACTGTTAAAAAATAGTCAAAGGCACAATGATAAATAAGAGAACTGGACAGTATTGGTGAAACATCTTTAATACATTACAAGAAAAACACTCAGAAGATTTTAGATCTTGTTCTTCGCCGTGTTTTATCCAACAACTGCAGAAGTTGCCGTCTGCCTTCAAACAGCAGTATACTAGCAGCCATTGCAGAGCTCAGGCTCTCCACTCCTGGAGCCATGGGCACAAAGAGCCTTTTGCCCTCCGTTTCCTCAGCCAATCGAAGAGCCTCCAGACTCAGTCCATGCGTCTCTCCGCCAATCACCAGTGCCGTGCTCCTCTGAGCCCAACTCTCAAAGTACACCTGAGGCTTCAGACACGGCAGTGAAAGTTCATCGGACTCTTCATCAGAGTCACTTTCACTGTATTCATCCGAAGTACCATTTTCTGTTTGTCTTGAAACTGGAGCTTTTAGAAAACTACTACTGTTATCTGCCACATGGACAACCACGTCCTTTGGTAAGTGCTTGGAAATTTCATCCCAGTCTAAATTAGGAAAGACTGGAAGGCGGAAATGAGCTCCCATTGCTGCGCGTAGAACCTTGGGCTCCCAGGCGTCCACACAACCTGAAGGAGAAGAAGAAAAAAACAGCCAGTGCTTAGAGTTTGTTATAATGCGTCTGGGTCATTTTTGACCCAGAAGAGATTTCTATAGTCTAAAAAAAAAAAAAAGCATGGTTTTAGTATTGGAAACTAAACTGAAATGTGTCAATACTATTAAAATACAGATTTATTTAAAATATTTTTTAAGAGATATAACTATTTAAAATAGATAAATCTTTTCATAACCAGGATATCAGTGGTGACATGCATATTTGGGGATTTTTTTTTTTTTTTTTTAAATCTACGAGCTAGATTTGTGTCAAAATACATTTGTACAATTAATTTAGCACTTTTCCCTTTCAGGACTGAATGTTTGCACACACAAACAAACTAGTTGTTATAAAACTATTAAAAAAAAGGCATTATAAAAACATTTTGTTTCAAAACATTCTATGTCAGAATAGGAATATGTAGGTTTCAGAAATATGGACTTTTATAATGGACGAGTTATAAGTTCAAAGAAATGTAATTAAATCCATTTATTTCAATTGAGTTAATGGTAATACTTATATTAAATTTCAAATAAAATGTGTCATAAATATTGATTTATTCTTGCATTACACTTGTTTTGCCATAGTTCAAATATTATTTACAGTTTCAAAGCATTTTCTAACTTTTTTTTATAAAAAATGGTAAGTGTAGCAATAACAGACTGCTTAATAAGTTTCCGTACTGACCCAGATTGCGAAAATAGGCTGCAGTGTTTTATGACTTTAAGGGCTAAGCGTTATGTGTTCCTTTTCAACAAAGACATGTTAAATGTATGACATACCTTTGGTTAGGAGAACACCGTCACAGCCAGCAGCTGCCGCACAGCGTAAAATAGTCCCTAGGTTCCCAGCATCACGTATATTGTCACATAACAGAAACAAAGGAACTGACTGAAGACGTGCGTCTTTTGGAAACACCATGCGGGAGGCATCCAGTTTTGAGAATATAGCTGAGATTTGAGGGAAACAATGTGATTTGAGTTGTGTTACATACATTTAGAAGTAGGTTTATAAGAGATCCAGCAACGCACCTATAACACCCTGAGGAGTGACCAGGTCAGACCAGGTCTTCATGTCTTCATATCTGACCTTGATGAGCTTGGCCTGCTGTAGTTTATCTAGAGGAAGCTCCTGCAGTCGCTCCACTGCACTGAAGAAGAGCATCTGAGGAGCTGCTCCAGCAGACAGAGCGTCACAGATCAGACGACTCCCCTCCAGCAGCACCTTACCTTCCTTATCCCGAAACGCTCTGGACCGGGCAACACTGGCCACCTTCCTGAGAGGAGAATGACAGACTTCTTAAAACTACACTCTTGTTACTTTTTCTTTGGTAAAAATATCAAAATCTTAATGAAAGAGTGCCAAAAATCCATCTTCCAAACGGTGTCTTTACCCTAATACACTTTGATAAACCTATAACAATGATTAATATTTTAGACCTGTCGAGATCAGACATGGATCACTCAAATAAATAAATTATATATATATATAT